GAGAAAATGGGTTTTCGGGTAATACATTAAAGCTAAAAATATATTTCTCTGTAATCAAAAAATAGGTCCATATCAAACTTCGTGAAATCGGATGAAGATATATATGGTAGCTATACCCAAAAGCGAACCGATCCCTATAAAATATGCCTGAGGTATATGCTATGCTTTATCCGATAGCAAATACGGAGATCATTTCCGGGTGTGAGGTACATAAATACTTAATCGGAGAAAACATATATATGGGACCTATAGCTGTACCTTAATCGAATTTCACCAAATTTGACACAAGTTCCATTCTATTCGGACTAATATTACAGATTTGGTGCACAATAAAAAGCAAATCGCATGACCAATTATCATCAATTTCCATGGGCCAAGCAAAATTGCATCTCGATTGGGCGATAAATGCCGTGCTGAACTTTAAATACCCTCCTCTATTCGGTCAAGAAAAAAGAATATATAAAAAGATCTGGATTCTAACGTGTTCCACTTTAAACTACAAATACCAGGAATTACCGTTATAAGAGGGCTAATGTCAAGTTTGCCACCGATGGGGATGGTAAACATTACAAACTTAAAATTCTCAAATTCAACCATTTCTTTGGCTTAAACCACCGAAGTTCGAGAGTTCCCGCAATATAGAAAATTTTCTGGTGGTGCCAAACGTTAAAAACTACAGGGGGAAGTCTGCAACTATGCAAACAATTATCTGCCTGAAAATTTCAAATAATAATAAACAAAAAAAAAAAAAAAAAAAAAAAAAAAAAAAAAAAAACAGTAAAGAAAGTCCTAAAGTCGGGCGGGGCCGACTTTATGATACCCTACACCACTTAAAAGATTTTATGAGAGAAAATAATCGTACACGCTATGATTATGTTTATAATTAAAAGTTCAAAGGACTAAATATGCCGAAGCATTTGTATCTTTCATTTCGGTCTTGTATTGTCCATTTGGTGCAAAATTAATTTGAAATCAGATATACATATATATGAGAGCTATATCCAAATCTCAACCGATCTCGATAAAATTTGGCAAAGATATTTCAGAGCTGTATTTGATATATTTCCCTGAATATCGTTGTTACGGAGTGCATATTACGGTTGTGGGTAACAAATATAACAAATCGGATGAATACTATATATGGAAGCTATAGCTATATCTGAACCGATCTTCACCAAATTTGACATACTAGCTTCTAGACTCAATTCGGTCGTAAGTGCCAAATTCCATCCCATTTGGACAAATATTAGACGTTTGGTGCACAATAAAAGGTAAATCGGACGAAGTTATATATGGGAGCTATATCCAAATCTGAACCGATCTTGATAAAATTTAGCAAATGTATTTCTGATATATTTCCCCAAATATTGTTGTTGATAGTGCATATTACGGCGGCGGTGGAGAAAAATAACAAATCGGATGAACAATATATATGGGAGCTATAGCTATATCTGAACCGATTTCGATCAAATATATACATATTTTCAGGCCTAATTTGGGTGTATATGCAAAATTCCATACAATTCGGGCTGATATTACACGTTTGGTGCACAATAAAAGGCAAATCGGACGAAGATATATATGGGAGCTTTATCTAAATTTTGACCAATTATCTCCAATTTCAATAGGGTTCGTCCTTGGGCCAAACAAAAGATCTTTGCAAAATTTCATCTGGATCGGGCAATAAATGCGACCTGTACTTTGTTTACAAAAATACATGGACAGACGGACAGACGGACGGACATGCATAAATCGACTCAGAATGTGATTCTATGCAGATCATCAAAAGGAACTATGGGTCTATCTCGTTTCCTTCTGCCTGTTACAAACAAATGCACAAAGACATAATACCCTGACCACCTTGTGGTGTAGGGTATAAACATTAAGTTCGGCTGGGCCGAACTTTACATACCCTCCACCTTAGGGTAATGGAAAAACTAGAACCAATTATGACCCACAAATACCAATTTTTAGACATATTCATGGGAAAATTTGGCAAAAATCATCAAAATACCGAATATTGGGAGGTATCGTTATGTGGGGGCTATACCAAAGCGTGGACCTATACATGCAATGCTTCGCCACTGGAGCTAGAACCCAATATGACCAACAAATACCAATTTTTAGACAAATCCGTGAAGAAATCTGGCAAAAACCATCAAAATGCTGAATATCTGAAGATACCGTTATATGGGGGCTTTACCAAAACGTGGGCCTATACATACAATGTTTCGCCACCGCAGCCAGAACCTATTATGACCAACAAATACCAATTTTTAAACAAATTCGTGAAAAAATGTGGCAAAAATTATCAAAATATCGAATATCGGGAGGTACCGTTATATGGGGCTATACGGAAACGTAGACCTATACATACATTGTTCCGCCACAGGAGTTAGAACCCATTATGTTTCACATATAATAATTTTAAGAAAGATTCGTAAGAAATATGCCAAAAATGATCAAAATACCGAATGTCGGAAGGTACCGTTATATGAGGGCTATAAGAAAACGTGGACCGATATATCTCATTTTCAATACCAACCATCCTAGACACAATACAAATTGTGACGCCAAATTTTGAAGCGCTACGTCACATAATGTGGGCTGTATCGTGATTTCAACGGACAGACGGACATCGTTAAATCGACTTAGATTTTTATGCTGATCATGAATATATATACTTTATGGGGTCTACGACGCATATTTAGGGATGTTACAAACGGAATGACAAAGTTAATATACCCTCCTTTTCTAAAAACCAATCATTCTAGACACAAAACAAATTGTTGCCAAATTTTGTAGCTTTACGTCAAATAAAATGGGTTGTATAATAATTTGTAGTTATTCAAAATTTTGACCATTTATGGGGGAGATCCCTGATGGAGTGGACCGATAATCTCCATTTCCATACCTGACCTAGCACTGATGCAAATATTGGTATTTGCAAAGTTGGAGCAAATTCGGATTATCCTTTCTCGTTCTGTGCAAAAAATATATATTTTGAAAATTTCGACCTTTTGTGGGGAGGTACCAGAAGGAGTGAATCGATATTGCCCATCTCCGAACTCGATCTAAGTTTGACAAAAATATTGCGATGCACCAAGTTTGGATCAAATCGGATAACCCCTCGAGAGTTATCGTGCGCACCAGACAGATAGACGGACCGACGGACGAACGGATATCGCTAGATCGACTCCAAATATTCTGAAACGGATTTGGTCCAAAGAGACCTAGGGTCTAAATCCGTTATTTCGACTAGGCACGTTTTGACCGAATGAAATGATATACCCTCTGTAGCCATATGGCTGAGGGTATAAAAAACTGAAAAATACCGCTTACATGAAAACCGTTATATGAGAGCTATTCGAAAACGTGGTCCTTCAAAAACGAAATTTAAAATAATTCCGGTGAATAATGTCGCTAATATCATCAAAACGACGCGTAAAGAGAGCTATCGTTATATGTGGGCTATACAAAAGCGTAGTCCTTCTATTTCAATTCGCTTGAAAGATAGCATGATTGACACAGACGGACATCGGTAAAGAGAATTTTACGCGGATCTAGAAAATATATTTTTTCTAAGGTCCATCATGCGTTTTTCGAGTATCTAGAAAGGGAATGACAAAATTAGTATACACTCCATAGAATGCATAGAATAAAAATCTGATGTCATCTGATAAAAATCTGATGTCATTATATGGTACCTATTTAAAATCACGGATTATTTTCGATATCTATCTGAGCATAATTTTATCAACATTATTCAGCTAGGAAGCTGAGTGGTTTCCACAGAGATATAGATAAGCGGAGAGGGCAAAATCGAATGGCTGATCCAGAATACTTTGTTGGGTCTAAAATCTTTATTTCGATGAGTTACAAACATAACAACTTACCCTTCATAGGATGTATGGTGGAAGGTATTAAAAGGGTCGTGTTATCTCCTTCAGTAGTACATTACCGGACAGGACAACATAAGAACTACAATAAAAACAGACAGCCGATCTCACCAACAAACAACAACAATATTATTCATGCAACGCAATAGACCGATGGAAAAATCAACCATAAACCACTTATCGTGGTTTATGATAAATAATTCTCATTAACTTGGCTGTGATGGTGACTTAAATGATTTCTGTTTCGGTTTATAAAATAGATTCGCTACTGCAGGGTGTCAGCCTAAAGGGTGTGTAGTGATTTTTTAATTTTAATTTAATTTTTTAATTAACAATTTACTTTCCTCCGAATAATAGCTTGGAATACATTTTTGGGCAGGCTTACATTAACTTGAGTGGCTGGCCCACAGAAGCTTCGGGCTCAATATCCCACAGAAATTTTGAGCTCAGTGTCCCACTGAAGCTTCGGGCTCCCAAACATGCCATATATAAGAGTTCCGCGTTATCTTCAAATTGTTTAAAACCTAAAGATCATCCCAGATTATTCTTAGACACCGTTTAACTACAAAACGTCAAGAAACTGATTCTCACGACTAACATTCCCAACCGTCGTAAACATTGAATTCCCGATCATCACCTGCCTATATTGATTTTCGAGTAGAAGAGCTTCCGTAACAAAAAAGTTTACGTTGGGAATTTATGGGAAGTAAATCATACCAACTATGAACCTTATTTGAATGCGTATCATGGCTTTAGAGTAGTCCTAATTTGGGAAATATGTTCAACTCTAAATCGATTTTCAACAAATTTGACGGAGGCTACCAAATAACATTGCTTTATAGTGCGTGCTATGACTTCGATAAAAATTATATTAAAAATTATTTATTGGAGCAATAGAAATACCGGACCGAGTTTCACCAAATGGTAAAATTTGGTTTAATCTGAAAAAATCTATTCAATTTGGGCTGATATTACATATATGGTTAACAATAACCATAAAATCGGATGAAGGTGTATATCGAAGGAATAAACATTTCTGAACCAATCTCGATAAAATTTGGCAGAGGTATTTTCGAGCAGTATCTGATGACTTGGACTTACCCACATACTCCAATGCAGTCTCTAGCCCCTTTGTCGGAGAAATATAATGCCATCATACTTTTTGAGGTTAAACAAAAATTTCATTTGAATACTGCGTTTGCCAAACAAAAAAAAAAAAATAATTGAGTTAAATTTGTATTTAATTTAAAAAATCATCTCATACCTTTCTTTTTTTCGAATCATCGAATATGGAAAAACGACTAAATTGTATGCATTTCCCTCCGGATAAAGATGCAATGCAAACATGGTGATAGCTTACAATCTGGCATTGGTATTGGAAATTTGTTTAATCCCAAATGGAAGTTTTAAATTTTTTCATCAGTCCATTTTAAAGCATTTGATTTTCGTTAATAAAATGTCAGACTAATATAATTCCAGCTGGTAGCTTCTCCTTCTCATTAAAGGGTATAAATTTTCTTCTGAATTTTATTCCGGTATATTAAAAATTTCTTTTCTTTCAAAATAATTTTAGTTTTCTTCTTTTCAATGCCTATCCAAGTAATAATCCTCAATATGAATTTTTTCCTTTTTAAATTTTTTGACATATTTTTTTTGTTTTGCTTCAGCCTACTACAATTATTTTAATTTCAACAAAAATTTGAATAATACATGGCCTACAGTACCAGGGATACTCAATGAGTTGGTCCAAAGATAAATGTGTATTAGTTTGCCATTCATTATACCCTACACCACAAGGTGGTCAGGGTATTATGTCTTTGTGCATTTGTTTGTAACAGGCAGAAGGAAACGAGATAGACCCATAGTTCCTTTTGATGATCTGCATAGAATCACATTCTGAGTCGATTTATGCATGTCCGTCCGTCCGTCTGTCCGTCCGTCCGTCCGTCCGTCTGTCCGTCTGTCCATGTATTTTTGTAAACAAAGTACAGGTCGCATTTATTGCCCGATCCAGATGAAATTTTGCAAAGATCTTTTGTTTGGCCCAAGGACGAACCCTATTGAAATTGGAGATAATCGGTCAAAATTTAGATATATCTTCGTCTGATTTGCCTTTTATTGTGCACCAAACGTGAATTATCAGCCCGAATTGTATGGAATTTTGCATATACACCCAAATTAGGCCTGAAAATATGTATGCCAAATTTGATCGAAATCGGTTCAGATATAGCTATAACTCCCATATATATTGTTCATCCGATTTGTTATTTTTGTCCACCGCCGCCGTAATATGCACTATGCAACAACAATATTTGGGGAAATATATCAGATACAGCTCAGAAATACATTTGCTAAATTTTATCGAGATCGGTTCAGATTTAGATATAGCTCCCATATATAACTTCGTCCGATTTACATTTGATTGTGCACCAAACGTCTAATATTTGTCCAAATGGGATGGAATTTGGCACTTACGACCGAATTGAGTCTAGAAGCTAGTATGTCAAATTTGGTGAAAATCGGTTCAGATATAGCTATAGCTTCCATATATATTATTCATCCGATTTATTATAATTGTTACCCACAACCGTAATATGCACTCCGTAACAACGATATTCAGGGAAATATATCAAATACAGCTCAGAAATATCTTTGCATATAGCTCCCAAATATATATCTTTATCCGATTTCAAATTAATTGTGCACCAAATGGGCAATTCAATTCCGAATTTAAAAGATACAAAGGCTTCGGCATATTTAGTCCTTTGAACTTTAAATTATAATTATAATCATAGCGTGTATGATTGAATTCTCCCATAAAAACTTTTAATTGTTATGTGGAGCTCTACTTAATTAGCAAAGTGGTGTAGGGTATCATAAAGTCGGTCCCGCCCGACTTTAAGACTTTCTTTACTGGTTTTAAAATATAGTCGGCCCGCCCGACTTTCGACCTCCCTTATTTATTTCTGAAAAATGTAACACTTTTTCCCAATTCCCTTTTTCCCAAAACTTGTTTATAGATCAGAACCCCAAAGGAATTTTTTATTCCTTAGCCTAAATTTTATTAAAGCCCTCATATAGTTTTGACCATATACAAAGAGACCCTGAAGTTTGAGATATATTACTCAATGTTTATTATAGTGGTTTAACATTTCATGGATATCTTTAGATTACACCTAGAATCATTGGTACAGAAAATGAATCACATCGATCCACTTTTAGGTACAGTCCCATGTAAGGATAACTCAGATTTCAAGAAGTTTTTACGTTTTTGGCCATGTTTTCCATTTTATTTCTTATTATGTAAGAATGCTATTTAGAAGAAATTTTCAATGTTGGTCCACTTTTTGGTACAACCCTCATAAAACATATTCCTCATTATACCCTACACCACAAGGTGGTCAGGGTATTATGTCTTTGTGCATTTGTTTGTAACAGGCAGAAGGAAACGAGATAGACTCATAGTTCCTTTTGATGATCTGCATAGAATCACATTCTGAGTCGATTTATGCATGTCCGTTCGTCCGTCTGTCCATGTATTTTTGTAAACAAAGTGCAGGTCGCATTTATTGCCCGATCCAGATCAAATTTTGCAAAGATCTTTTGTTTGGCCCAAGGTCGAACCCTATTGAAATTGGAGATAATCGGTTATAAATTTAGATATGGCTCCCATATATATCTTCGTCCGATTTGCCTTTTATTGTGCACCAAACGTGTAATATCAGCCCGAATTGTATGGAATTTTGCACATACACCCAAATTAGGCCTGAAAATATGTATGCCAAATTTGATCGAAATCGGTTCAGATATAGCTATAGCTCCCATATATATTGTTCATCCGATTTGTTATTTTTGTCCACCGCCGCCGTAATATGCACTATGCAACAACAATATTTGAAGAAATATATCAAATACAGCTCAGAAATGCATTTGCTAAATTTTATCGGGATCGGTTCAGATTTGGATATAGCTCCCCTATATAACTTCGTCCGATTTACATTTTATTGGGCACCAAACGTCTAATATTTGCCCAAATGGGATGAAATTTGGCACTTACGACCGAATTAAGTCTAGAAGGTAGTATGCCAAATTTGGTGAAGATCGGTTCAGATATAGTTATAGCTCCCATATATATTGTTCATCCGATTTATTGTATTTGTTACCCACAGCCGTAATATGAACTCCGTAACAACGATATTCAGGGAAATATATCAAATACAGCTCAGAAATATCTTTGCCAAATTTTATCGAGATCGGTTCAGATTTGGATATAGTTCCCATAGATATTTTTATCCGATTTCAAGTTAATTGTGCACCAAATAGGCAATACAAGTCCGCATTTAAAAGATACAAATGCTTCGACATATTTAGTCCTTTGAATTTTAAATTATAATTATAATCATAGGATGTATGATTGAATTTTCCCATAAAAAACTTTTAATTATTAAGTGTAGCTCAACTAAATTAGCAAAGTGGTGTAGGGTATCATAAAATTGGCCCCGCCCGACTTTAGGACTTTCTTTACTGGTTTTTGTTTGGTAATCCTTGAAAAAATGATCTTTTAAAAACCAATTTTTGATTCTTAAGAAATATTCTTTAAAAAATCCACGTTTTGTGGTCTTATGTTCATTAAGAAATATTCTTTAAAAACTCAACATTTTGTGGTCTAATGATCCTTAAAAACTATTTAAAAAATCCAAATTCTTTGGTATGTTAGTCATTGAAAAAATATTTTTAAAAAACCACTTCGGAAGGTCCTAAAAAAATTCTTTAAAAAATGAACTATCGGTGGTCCTTAGAAATATTTAAAAATCCCACTTTTATTGGTTTGATGATCCTTGAAAATTTTTCTTCACAAAATTCATTAATTGTACTTGAAAAGAGAATTCATCTTGTTGTATGATGGTCCTTAAGAAAATAATTATGAAAAGTCTACATTTGTTGGTTTGATAATTATTTAAAATTATTGTTAAATAAAAATCCGCACTTATATACTTATGGATAATTCTACGTCTAATCAATGAGCTTATCCCCTCACATTAACATAAAAGTTTCATCTATATTGATATTTTGGCATTTAATTCTATTTTAGTCCATATATCTCTAAATAAACACCAGTCTTCGATTATTTTCCAGGAAACCTCAATAACTTCTTAACTAAATAGCCTTCATATCCACTGTTCGCAATATTGCAAACTAAAATAACAAACTATGGTTGATGATTGAGCAATTCAATGTATGCGAGTATGTATGTATGTATTTTAGTTGGCTGGCTGGTGTTACAATCATTTCCGCCTTCCAAAATCGTTATGTTTGTTATTTCTTCTGAGCGCGTGTTTGTTTGTGTGTGTGTAGGTGCCAGTTGCCAGTTCCAGCAATGTGTTCATAATAGCCCTTGCCTTCACACTCACACATGACATATATGAGATTCACGTGTGCTGTAGAATTCTGTATATATGTGAATATGTTGGTGTTTACGGCAAATCAAACGGCTCCTTTGTTCATGGCCAACGCGACGCCTTAGCCAAACTCCAAAATCTCCGCAAATCCACAATGCTACCACAAAATTTTGCGGAGGTCATTAATCATAGACAAAAAATTTCGATTCGGCATTTCCCACTGCGAGAGCGAGATGAGATAAAATAAAAAAAATACGAAATAAATCAATTTCATTTTTGAATCGACGACCAACAAAGCGCCACCCACCCACTCAACACCAAAAGGAGGGGGAAACAAATAATGCTACTAAGCGGAAATTTGACAGCTATATGATTACCGAACTGGTTCAAGTGTTTGTTGAAATAGTGAATGGGAAGGGTGAGGCTAATGCTGAACATCGTATAATTTAACAATGATTTGAAATGTCAAAAGATTAAATAATTATAGGAAATTAATGATTTGCATTCAAATATCTGTTGGCGAAAGGAAATCGAAAAGAATGAATTATGATTATAATAATTATTCGTTTTTTAGTATTTTAGAAATATAATGAAGGTTGTATAGAGGTTACAAAAAGTATATATTGTCGATAACATCATTTCCGGGAATTTCAAGTTTACATTAAAAAAACTTATCATAGCCAAAGGCTTATATACAAATTCTGTAGCTTTTATCTTTAGCTACAGGTGCAGATAAAAAATGCAACAAAGTCAACATTTTTACATTTTTTTAAATTTTATTGAATAAAAGCAAAAAATGTCGGAAGTAGCATCAAATTTTAGAATTGCTGAATTTTGGCGCATTCCCGGCGAAGCGCTTGCTTGAGGAGATCGACATTTTGGTATTTTTTACTTCCAACCTTGCTTTCCACTATGCTTCAGACACAATAGTCCAATGGATTGGTATCCGGAGATTTTGGTGGCCATTGTGCGCAGCAAAAGAAGCGAGGAACATCATTTTGTAACCATTCTTGGATGGCGCGTGCTGAGTGCGATGGTGCTGAGTCCTGTTAGAATGTCCAAGGTCTGCGGCCAAAATGTTTGCGTACACAAGGCTTTAATACATCCTCCAGAATATTTTCGCAATAATTTTCCATTTATTCTGATGCCACGGTCGATTAAAACGAGCGGAGAGCGACCATCGGCTGTT